AAAGCGGACGAAAAAGAAAGGTATAGTTTAACTGATACGGGGGAAATTAGTTCGTTTTTTACCAGTATCTAGTACAATCATCAGTTGCTGATGTGAAATGAAATGAAATCTATTGTCCCATAATTATTATTGTGAGGTGATTTCAGTTCAAACCGGAAGAAGACGATGACGAAGATATTGAAGACGAGGAAGAGGATGATGATGAGGAGGAAGACGATGAGGAGGATGATGGCATGCGTCGTCGTGGGAAGAAATCAAAGAAAAGAAAAAAGGTATTTGACGGTTTTGGTTATCTCTTCGTACATTTATATCACACGGAGGAAAATTTTTTGGACCCCCTGGGTTATTGGTTTTACTGGCCTGTAGCGAGTACATTTACTCCACAAGACTAGCTTAATTGTGCAGAGGTATTATTTCATTACGAGTTGCATGTCTTCAGTTAATACAACATGTTTGATCGTTATCGACCTGTTCTACGAGGCCTATCCGAGTGGTTGTTTACTTTTTTACGAGTTGCACTTGCTGATAAATGACTCTTGGCAGCTTTGAATAAGATATATGATACGTTTCCCTAATATAAATATATGTATAAATATTGTGTGACGCGTGCAGTGCATGAAAAATATATATTAGAACGTGTATTTTGTGTATACGTGTATGTATGCGTATGTATATGTGTATGTATTTTTTTATGTGTATCAGTATATGTGTGTACGCGTATGCTTGTGTACGTATGTGTGTGTGTATGTATGTATGTGTATACGTATGCGTGTATGTGTATACATATGCATGTGTACGTGTGTGTGTGTGTATGCCTTTGTGCAAATGCACGAGATGTTTCCCAAAGTTTCTTTTTCTGTTCATTCAGTTTTGGACTTATTATTTTTATTTCTTTTACTGCATGATACTGTATTTACAAATTATGTCGGTGAATTTATCAGTGCCTGAAGAATTTTCAAATAACAAAAGCAAATTGCAGCGAAGAACTGGTGTACATCAGTTCATTCTGGATGATGTGGAAGTTGATGAGGAGGAGGAGGAGGAAGATGGCTATGAAGATGATGGTGATGAGATGGGCATTGATCCGAGAGAAAGAGAAGAAGCGGAGCGGATGATGAAGGAGCAAGATGAAAGGAATCGTAGAGGAAGACGACGAGACCTTTTCAAGTTTTTATTACTTTTGAATTCATTCATTGTCATTTCGAAGCTTTAGCCTTCTTTGCGTACCGGCGCTATACCAACAACTAACTAGCTTGGTTCGCTTTCCAAGTCGTCATTTTTACCCGGTCGAGTAAGAAATTTTGGTAGTATTGTATTCATTTTTCGTGATCCTTTTCATCCAGTGCCTCTTCTGTGTCCCTTTTTGTGACAGCTATTAGCTCAGGAAAGCAAGTCCGCACGTAAAACTAATAATATAAAACTTCCAAAGAAGCCAAATTGACTGTTTTGGGCTATACGTAAAGACAGTCGCACAGCTCTCAAATTTAGTAATCTTTTTTGTTATAAGTCATTTTTTTTTACAATGGTTGGACCAGCTAAATTAGTCATAGTACGTTTTCTATACCTCGGAAAAATCTTCCAGTTTTTTAACCAGTGGGCAGCTTTCTGATGACTGATTCTGACAACAGAAAAGTTTTCCATTCCAGCGATTCTGCGGACAAAATTGCTTGTTAAGACTGTAGCGGTTTCGAAATTCCCTTGGTGTATGTTGAACAATACTACGTGACTTCGAATCTTACTAGTTTGGCCTACAACTAGTTAGTTACCTTGTTAGAACTTTAAGGTTACCGTGGAAAAATTCGATTTTTGCCATATATTCGCTTGCATAGTTCATTCCCTTTAAGAGGTAAAAGCTCCCGGATATAGTCCAGGATTAGTAGTTTGTGATTTGCAGTATCCACTCGCTTAGCAAGAAAGTTGTTTCGAGGAAAAGAATTTATTTTTGACAATTTTGTCCTCACCTCTACCGATTTATTATTGAAATGAATCACAAAGGGACCAATTTAGCTACCAGCGGAAGGGGCCATTGACTGCAGACTTTTGAGCAGCGCAAAATGCCAGTGAATTTTTATGTTAAGAAATAAGCGGGCATTTTTATTTTGTTTTCAGTGGTATGAGCGAGGATCAGATAGAGGATTATTTCAAGAAAAAGTACGCAACGCAGTCATCCTATTCGGGTACAATGGATGACGATACAGCACTGGACGATATAAGTCGTCAATCATTGCTACCGAGTACCAACAAGGATCCAAATTTGTGGATTGTAAAGTGTCGTTTGGGTGAGGAAAAACTTGTTGCAATGCAACTGATGCGCAAGTATATTGCCTATGAACACACCGATAATGTAAGTAATTTTTTCTTGTCCTTTCGAATTTCGTTGCTTTGAATTAAAGCTGCCTCCTCATAACTTCATAAAATTACTATCCTTATCATATGTTAGTTTCCACCTCTTCCACCTGCTCTATCACTACTACTTCTTTCATTATATTAAATAGTTCCTCTCTTTCTTACTCTCTTTGTCTTCTCCTTTCACTAATCCTTCTAGCAAATTAGTTACATGTCTTTCCAATACATGGCGGGTAGGAGGCTGTACTGACGGTCCCCATTCCCACCCACATGCATAGCCCGGTCTGTTTTTACAGCTAAGAGATGAAACACAGAGTGCATTGAAAAATATCACCGCACTACATCTGAAAAATAAAGGCAATTTGCACCATAAAATAACACCATAAACATGGCTTGCGTACAATGTTATTGGTCTATTATTTCTTGGCCATTCTGTTGTTGTGCAGAGGGAAAACTGGTAACGTAGACTTGGACGGTTTTGAGGGTTTTACTAGAGTAAAGTCTGAAGTACGCCGATTCATGACAGTTGTAGCTGAACTGAGATGATTTGTGGAGGGCTACTGCTTTGCTGACAGTAAACCAGACTACGCCAACATTCCTCTATCCCTCACCATTGCTGAGCAAAATTTCTTTTTTTTTTTTTTTTTCATCTCCTCAAGTTACGAATTGTTCAGTCCTCTGCCATATTGCGCACACATCGAGGATATCGCATGATGTTCTATCGATTTCCCGGAGAAGATAGTCCGTGAGTTCATCGACGTTGACCTGCAGCTGTAGGTACATACCGAGAGATCCAAGCCGTTTCATGGCTGCATCCGTTTAAACACCTGAGATTCATGGCAGCCCCTCGTCCTTTGGTAGCCGATCCACTACCGTGGATTGGGCCGAAGCATGCGCAAGAGGCTCATTTTTTCCCGCTTCTATTCATGGCTTCATA